AAAAAATCTGACTGCCCCCAAGAGGCTCAAGAACCTGCCCAGGTAGGCAGGCGAATCACAGCCCAGGGGGCACAACAGCAGCTGCAGCCATCAGAACTGATGGGATGTTATAGGGGCTGCGACTCCCCCCCAAACATTAAGAGCCAACTTGGTGCAGATGCCCTTCCTGGGGAACACGAGGGTGGGGAGGCAAAGTGGCCTAGTCCACCTGGACAGTCCTGCTTCCAAGAAACTGACACGTGATGACATGGGGGAGCTGCGAAAAAACACCAGGGGCTTAAATTGACAGCTGCACCAACTGGAAAACCCAAGGGGGAAAAAGGGCCACAGTCTCGGGAGGCTCCAGCCTCCAAGAATTGAGACCACACTTCTGGGTACTCCCAGCACCCACCAAAGAGACAACACTGAGGCCTGATTTTGCTAGGCCCTGGCCCCATGCAAGTAGCGGTTTCATCACACTGGTTCCTAAACACGGAAGAACGAGGGACCAGCCGGGGCTTCACTAGATGGTCTCTGCCTCAAACACTAAGAGCAGGCAGCCCATTCAGAAGCCAGAGCCCCACAGCTCCTGGTACAGAGCAAGCAGCAGCGGCAACACCCCGAGGGTTGGGACCCTCCATGTGTGAGGCTGGCTTCTTGCCACACAAAAAGCCCTTGGTCCCACCTTCCCGCATAAGCATTTTCAATTAAAACGCAACAGGAACAGAGTACATGCAACCAAATACGCAAAACCCCTTGCAAAGACGGAGCTTTGGGGCCGGCGCAGCCGCCACTGCATCAGAACACACTACACACACCCCAGCGCCTCCCCCAGCAACTGGGCCCACTATTCAGAAAGTGCAGCAGTGACCCAAGGCAGTAAAGAGACAGTCACGTCTCCCCCTTCAGGCACCTGCGTGACAGGTGCAGGGCCCCGTCGGCATCACAGCAGGCCCAGCTCTGGTGCACAAGCTCCGCTGTGGGGAGAAAGCAGCTCAAGAGCCCCTTCAGCACAAACATCGCGAACGTGTTTGCCTCTCAAGGCCACGAAGCACAAGAACCAGCCTGGGATGCTCCAGAGCAGGGCCCAGGAGGTCAGCAGCCAAGGTGAAGTCAACCAACCCACCACACCAGGTGTCTGAGGCACACAACAGGTGAGAATCGCACCCGGTATAGCTTCGCACACTGTGCCCATCACAGCTCCGGGAGCCCACAAAGGGCAGTCACCACAACCACACCGAGCAGCTGAGGCGCGCAACACAGGCGAGAGCCACACCCACCGCCTTTGGGTGCTGGAGCCTATAAACGGCTGGCGCTGAGGCCACAACATTCTCCCACAGACTCAGTCACGCATCCCCCCTGCAGCCAGGGCAGGGCGAGGCATCACGTTGCAGCGAGACCTAGATACAGCTTCAGCAGCCACCTCCCCGAAGGCGGCTACTAAATCTGGTAGCACAAAACACCCCCTTCAGATTTTTTCAAATGGCGGCACTGGTTAGCGGGGCTGAGCCACAGGTCATGGGATGTTCTGGAGCTGTGGCCCGGTCACCAATCCCATCACCCCGTAACTACCACTGGGGGGCCCACGCAGCCAACTGGTCAACCCTACGGGCGTCAGGACAGCAACAGGAACCTGCGCAGCCCAGGGCGGGCCGTCTTTCACGTCCTCCAAGGCCCCGACAATGGACCGTTTGTGGCCGCCCTACTCAGCTCCCGCCTCCTGACAGCTGCCCGCACACCACAGCACCCGCCTGGTTCGCACCCCGGCCAAATCCTGTGCTCTGGGCGCAAAAAACAATATGGAAAAGCAGCCGCCAGACGCGGTTAGGCATCGTTTTATGGGGCTGTGGGCCACGCACCGCTCCCGTTTGGTTCCTTGCCTGGCTCCCCTCAGAAGTTCCCTCTGCATGGATGTGGCTCCCAGACTGGAACCAACGCGCGCGGGCCCGCGACACACCCCGAGGTTGAACATACGATTCAGCTCCATCCATCCGATGTTCGCACTGGTGATCAGGCAACACAAAGCCCTGGGAGTGGGGTCACTTGGGCACTGAATGGACGGCCTTGGCACGCCCCCTTATCCCATTGCTCTCAGGCTTTGGAGTCCGGGGATCAGGGAGGTCGTGGCCCCTGGGCGCAGGAGAGCAGACGCCTGGGACCAGGTAGGTGGGCAGCTCTGTCAGCGGGTCCTCAAACCTGGAGAACCAATGTCTCCAGGCTCCAACCACTGCAGAGCACGCAGCACCTATTATGGGCACCAGAGCAGGGGGTCCTCAGGCTGGTCCAGAGCTCGCCAGGCCACGGATTTCCCCCACCTCTCCATTGCTGCCTCCAGGGAGCCTCCGGGGTGACCTGGTTGAACCTGGGGCGTGGAAGCAGAGAGGGCGGAAGTTGTGCGGGCTTTGTCTGCCTCCAGAGGCACCTTGTATGAGCGACCCCAACCAGGGACCCTCACCCCCCTAACACGTAATTTCACATACAATCCCCCCAAGGGGTTGCCCACTTGAGTGCCCCAGGAACTGAGAGAGAAGCCCAAAAAAGCTTGCCCATGGCCAGCCCATTAACGCCCATCCCCGCACACGCTCCTCTGCGGCCCCTAGGCCGCAAGCTGGCCTGCCTCGGGGGTGGAACACCGTGTCCTGTTCCCCAGGGGTGCTGGTCTACCCATGCAGGTGGCTACATACCTTGTCTGGAAGCTGCAGCAAACGTCCACGTCCCCCTGTGATCCTGCAGGTACAAATATGTGGTAAANACCACAACCACACCGAGCAGCTGAGGCGCGCAACACAGGCGAGAGCCACACCCACCGCCTTTGGGTGCTGGAGCCTATAAACGGCTGGCGCTGAGGCCACAACATTCTCCCACAGACTCAGTCACGCATCCCCCCTGCAGCCAGGGCAGGGCGAGGCATCACGTTGCAGCGAGACCTAGATACAGCTTCAGCAGCCACCTCCCCGAAGGCGGCTACTAATCTGGTAGCACAAAACACCCCCTTCAGATTTTTTCAAATGGCGGCACTGGTTAGCGGGGCTGAGCCACAGGTCATGGGATGTTCTGGAGCTGTGGCCCGGTCACCAATCCCATCACCCCGTAACTACCACTGGGGGGCCCACGCAGCCAACTGGTCAACCCTACGGGCGTCAGGACAGCAACAGGAACCTGCGCAGCCCAGGGCGGGCCGTCTTTCACGTCCTCCAAGGCCCCGACAATGGACCGTTTGTGGCCGCCCTACTCAGCTCCCGCCTCCTGACAGCTGCCCGCACACCACAGCACCCGCCTGGTTCGCACCCCGGCCAAATCCTGTGCTCTGGGCGCAAAAAACAATATGGAAAAGCAGCCGCCAGACGCGGTTAGGCATCGTTTTATGGGGCTGTGGGCCACGCACCGCTCCCGTTTGGTTCCTTGCCTGGCTCCCCTCAGAAGTTCCCTCTGCATGGATGTGGCTCCCAGACTGGAACCAACGCGCGCGGGCCCGCGACACACCCCGAGGTTGAACATACGATTCAGCTCCATCCATCCGATGTTCGCACTGGTGATCAGGCAACACAAAGCCCTGGGAGTGGGGTCACTTGGGCACTGAATGGACGGCCTTGGCACGCCCCCTTATCCCATTGCTCTCAGGCTTTGGAGTCCGGGGATCAGGGAGGTCGTGGCCCCTGGGCGCAGGAGAGCAGACGCCTGGGACCAGGTAGGTGGGCAGCTCTGTCAGCGGGTCCTCAAACCTGGAGAACCAATGTCTCCAGGCTCCAACCACTGCAGAGCACGCAGCACCTATTATGGGCACCAGAGCAGGGGGTCCTCAGGCTGGTCCAGAGCTCGCCAGGCCACGGATTTCCCCCACCTCTCCATTGCTGCCTCCAGGGAGCCTCCGGGGTGACCTGGTTGAACCTGGGGCGTGGAAGCAGAGAGGGCGGAAGTTGTGCGGGCTTTGTCTGCCTCCAGAGGCACCTTGTATGAGCGACCCCAACCAGGGACCCTCACCCCCCTAACACGTAATTTCACATACAATCCCCCCAAGGGGTTGCCCA